TTCTGCTCGCCAAGCCACTTTCTTGTTTCACTGCAGTCTGTGCCAAACTGTTCGTGAGAATGTCGAGTCTGCGGCGCGCTGACCTCTATAGCTCCGTCGACCTGCCGTGGCACGAACATCGGCATGCACCCGGCACCTGGGACGTTCAACATCCGTACTCCACCGGCCTGCTGAGCCATCTACATCGGATGTCCGCCCAGCAGCCGCACGTCCCACTGCTCCTCTCCGTCGACAGCACCCGCTACAGCCAACGCCGCCCCGCCAGAACACTCCACTCGACGCCAACTCTCCGCACAACACTGGCCCAACTAGCACCTCAACTCCAGACCCGCAGCGGCGTCCGCACAACAGCACCCTTCCTCCTACTGGTTGACAGCGACACCAAATGTAGTGAATGAGAGCACAGATGAGGAGAACCAACTAAATATTTTGCACAAATTACAACGTTACTTGGTAAAATGCAAAAATCATACTATGATACTCTATTTACAAAATGTTCTTCAATTGTCTCAGGCTTCATTGTTCCTGGAATTCCACACAAATTGCTTTTTATTTCTGTTCTTCGCTTCTTGATCTTCTCAATCTTCTGCTGTCAGATATTCTATTCCTTGCTCACCATATATACTACTTATGTCAATATAAGTAGCTCACACCACACAACAACAACAAATACTACTACTACTATTGCAATTGCAAATATAAATATAAATACAACGAATTCAAAAAACCGTAATACAACCACAAACAAAATTACTATCACCACGTCACACTTCCCACATTCTCACTCCATCCCGTGTCACTTCCACACTTCATATTATTCATTCACAACACCGACGAGTCACAGTCCCCTGCCTAGTCGCCCTCACAAACACAACATCGTCTCCTCACTGTATCCAACTACTACTACTACTTTTTATCTTCAAATGTTGTAAGTTATCTTCGCAATAGCTACTGTCACGCAGATGAAGGCTGTTTGTATGTTATAATTATACTTTGTAGGTGGATGACGAGAAACCGCGAAATACGGGAAATTCATGTTATCCTGCCACATTAATTGTTCTTGCTTAACTAGTGTTACATTGACTAGCTTGACGAGGTAGACATTAGTGGATCGATTCACATGGTGATGAGTTGTGAGCGATTGTGTGATGGATGGATGGCAGGATAGATTGATTGGTTGATGTATTGGGAGAATGATTGAGTGAGTGAGTAAATGAGTGAGATGTTGAGTGATTGATTAAGAGTGTGAGGTAGAGATGGTTTCCATAAGGTCTTCTGACTGAATGAATGACTGACTGACTTATTGACTGATGTCTTTCAATGTTTATAGTATTTTAGGAGTATTTGCGTTCTCCTGAAAATTCCAGAATACTACTGAACATATTAGTGGTGTAGTAATAAGTCAATCAGAAGCTCTACATGTGAGTTTTCATGTTCGCGATATTTCTAGCAGAACGTCGCATCAAACTGTGATTGGATAAAATGTTTCTTAATATTTCCTGAGCTAATCATGTTTATTGCGGGAAATTTTCAATATCGCTCCAATAAACACAAAGTGACTTTTATTTCTCGATGTCTGTTTCGCAACAACCTGATATTTCAGCAAGGGGATTGAATCGATTTTAATTGTTGTACAAAGTTACATTGATTAATGTTTTTCAAAGTTTTTTTAACTGTCTGGAAGATTCATCTGTACAATCCTCAAATGAACTCTTCGAAAATTTCTCTTCTCCAGTATCAGTATTGATTCCTGATATTTCTGAAACTCAGTGAAAGGAGATGCGCTGGAAGTACCAGTGATCATTGTTGTGAATTCATATGTCTTTTGTACAGATGTGTGCCTTACATCTTACTTATCTAAACAAGGATGTGTATTATAAATGATAAAAAATAGGACATCTGTGTCAATCAGAGAAGATCAACGACTATGGGAAATGAATTTAGGGTCTTATCACAGATGAAGCAAGTAAAAAGTGAACACATAAATAACACAAGAATAAGGAGTGCTGTAAATTGATACCAAGAAATAAAATCTTAGACGATGTGTATAACTAAATAAGATAGATGGTTTGTTAGAACACCGCATCGATCGTTATACAAAACGAATCTTGAAAAATACTTCAAACTACTATGTAGTGAATAGTAGTGTGGTGTTTTTGTACAGAAAAAGCGCAAGAAGAGGTTCACAAAACAAGAGGCAATGAATTTGGGCTTGTCATTCAAATCAAGGAAACGGGCTAATGATAATCTCATGGAGAGTGACGACAGTCGAGCTTTTCAATGTCTCCATCATGATTTACGGTCAATAAGTCATTCACAGTGACGAAGAAAGTTTATTGTTTCTATGGGATAACAAATGGTAATGAATATCAATATCCGATGTTGAGAAAATAAAATAGAGAGGTTAATTTTGTTTTGATTCATTCAATCAACTAACTGAGATCTATTGTTCGAGATATAGGCTACTCATTACCACACCTGTTTGTGAATATGATGTCTAAATTAGCTAAAATAGTTAGTAGGCGATATGGCTTATGTTTATCGAAACTTGTTGGTAAAATATTGATGAATATTCAGTGAAATTAGAGGTGGACCGAGTTCTTCCTTATGTAGTTATAGGAAGACATTTTAAGTGATCATTATTTATTGTGTAAATTGTTGACGCTCACTATTTAACATCATGAAACAGGAAAATACTGAGTAGTTGTTTTGTTCTATGAAACAATTGCTTAGCAATACGCTTTTACAATTCAACTATAGATTGAACCTGAAAGTTTCAGCGCTAAAATCGGGATTTTAACATCTAAACTATTGAATTTGAATGAATAGAATAGCTTACAGTCTTAAATCTGAGATATCATTCATTACGATTGATGATATTTGTCATATATCAGATATGGTTGAACACTGTTTTGATCACTACTTTTCATTAGAACTCTGAGAATAACTGCGGCACACAATGTTACTCATTATTAGGGCACATCATGATTGATATTCTATCGGTTTTCTTTCTTTTCAAAGGGTAATAAATTTTCTTACTCGCAATTTAATTCATTCATCAATGAAGAGTACAAATTGTCACGGACGTGAACAGGTATATCTATTCATGAACTGATTGCTTGTATAATGATCATTTTTTTAGGCTAAGTAATAATGTATTGTCAATCAACATGTAGATTTGAATATGTTCTTGTTAAACAATAGAATATTTTGTGAATTATGACGAACAAATAATAACCGATCACTGGAAAAGATGTGAGAGAGAAAGTAAATTCTCAACCGATTATTACATTTCTATGGATGTCATTCGATTCAGTTGATCATTGACCACTGCTTATCAGTGTGAACAGAATGTGACTGGTTATATGATGACTTTGCATCATACAATGAAGCATTCAAAATGAGGTTTGTGATTGTCAGTTGAAGTAGTATCATTTATAGAATATAGAACATTTCATCTGGAGACTAAACTGGTGTCTTTTCTATGTTTTCTCCTATTGTGTTAATAAAGGTATCTATCAGTTTAATGACATTCATTTGAAAGTAATAATGAACAGAACATTCTACTTTCTTTAAATATTCTTATAAGCTTCTGCTTGAATGGAATAATGACGTAAAGCAGCCTAATATTTTGTAGACACACAGGTCATAGTATGAGCAAATCTGAGTTATTCAACGTGTAGTCCATAAAGTACCTGTGATAGGAGAGCGAATTTACGTTAAATCATGGACTAAGCTTGAATTGAGACTAGTCAGTCTATCAGTTGCTATGGCCTATAACCCATTTGTTGAATGCACATAGATTTGCAAATCACTTTACTCTTTCATTTCTCTCTCCTAATCCATGTCGTCCATTCCGACTTTGGCATTTAGATCTATGAGGATGGTGAGGTCCTTTCTTGAGCACTTAGCTAGGATTGATTGTAGTTTCTAATAGAAGTGACCTTTGCTGTCATTGGTGGATTCACAACATCGGGTAACATTCATTGTGATCCCCTCCTTTATTGTTTTCAATGATGCTTTGATAATTTCGGATCCATGAGATTCCCATTCTACAAGTGCATTTTGTACTTCTCTGGACAGCATTAGAGCAACTCTCTGAGTGTGTGGACCATTTTTCCTCTTCGTGATCGGAGTACAGCAGAATGTTTTCCGTATCTAGCCATTGCTCTTCAGCTTGCGTCCAACTACATTGAGTATCTGGACAGCGACAATCTCTATTTGCAATGTGCTATAACGTTAAAGAACTTCAATATTAATAAAGTGACTAAAAATAGGTTCAGTGTCGACATCAGATTGTGTGTGCCTCGTAAATCTGGAATTCCATGTGCAACGCTGAAATCCTATGTCAAGTGAACTGTTCTCGCATGTAGCCATCGAATCATCATTCAAACCGTAAGGCTCTTTTGTGATGCTGATGAATAAAAAAAACTTCTAGTTAATATCATTTTCATGAGAAAGCTTTGAAAGAAGCCCTTGACCGTATTATACAAATATCAACAATAAAATCATGGAAGGAATCATAATCCGTCTTGATGACACCTCTATAACCATAGTTTGTCGCTCACCATTTACCTAATACGTATTAATCAAGTAACGAAATATGAAAGTGATTATCTAGGTATTCATAAAGTGTTTCGACAGATCACTCCATCAAAATGAACACTCACACCGGACTCATAGTTGACTGCAATGATCACGAAATCACTTATGCGTAATGCCACGTAGTTACGAATTAAATTTGTATAACTCATGTGATAATATGCATCTTGAGTTATATGAAAGCAATAACGCGAATATTGAAAACAGTGTTTAATATTTTATAAAAAAAGAATAACATCAGCTATCATGGTAACAATCAAAAGCATATACAAAGTATCATGAAATAAATGTTCAAATTAGTAAGAAGACAAATGAAATTCTAAAGTATTCTAAAGAAAAGCGGAATTGAGACAACTTGTTCAGAGTTTTCAAAGCAATTTATAAGACTTTTTTATGGATCATTCATCACTTCCCTTTCTTCTAAGTAACCATCTCCAAATTATACAACCGATGCATATAAGAAATAGAGAGGCGACCATAGGAATAACAACGTACAAGTACCAATGTGACTTGTGTTGCTTATTTTCTTCCGTTGTCCTTGTAGTCATATACTGATAAAAAAGAAAGAATTATCAGTTTTCAACAAATATCACATATTTACCGATTGTTTATCTGTTTCTTCAGTAGTTTTCATGAGGTTTTCACTAACCTGAACCTCAGTGATACCCGATGTTGTTTCACCGTGTTCCGTAGTTGTTGAACTATTCAAATCGTTGACATCCAAGGTCTTCTAAATGATTCAATCAGAAGCATTCATCACTAAACATCAAATATCATTCTTTTAATTCATTACAAATTTACATTCATTACAAATCATTCCCAGTAATGATGACACAAGAGATTCTCATACATAGTAGCTGAATTCGAATTCGTCAGATCATTCAGGATATCTATTAACGATTTGACAATCAGTGTACTCAGTAAACACGATCCTTCACCTAGTTGACGACCCCTTCCTGTGATGGAATATATGTTCTGGATGTCACATCTAATCACAATCCGAATATAAAGCAAAAGACTTATAAGGTACAGCTTCATTGGAGCAATCTATTGAGGTTACATATTTTTCTACAGAGTATCATAAATCATTGTTCCGGGATTCAACAATGGTAGGCTACATACTTTCACTAATTCTCCTAATGTGATACACAATTTCTAACTGTTAACGCTTCTTCACTTTACCTGCTTTCATCGGTATATTGTTACCATTGACATACATCTACGATTACATTTAGGACTTTCGAAATTACGGTTTATTCACTGAGCTGAAAACATAATTCGCTTTGAAACGATGATGGTGAGCGATGCTTTGATTCATTGTTTACTGTTTTCACGAAAACGAAGCATGTACTCATATGTCGTCAACCTATACAAAGCTTTTACTTAGTTACTGAGGGTGGTTAACATGCCATTTCTTATTGATAGCAATAAAAGTATTTTTTCCAGTTAAAACATTTGCTCAGAATGTGAAATTTGAGGTTATTGCAAACAACATATGAAGTTTACTAATTACCAACCTCAACACGGCAGTCATTGACTTTCAAGCCATGAGTGTTCTGATCGTTACTTTCTATACATTTCTTCCCTTTGTCACACCAAAAACATGTCATAGTCGATGTCGTTGCATTTTGGCATGTTTCACTTGTATTGTATTGCGAACAAATTTCTATGAAAAGAATAAGGTGAATTCATTTGAAGTTAATGAATAGAAGAACAGAGAAATAAGAAACCTGTAAATATAACTCAATGACGTGATGATGATTTCTGAGCTAAGTGACTTATCCATTCGGTGGAAAATGGTCAACATGGTGCATCATGAAAAAATCAGTACACCTTCAATTTCTCTTCTATTTCAAGACTGCATTTTTGGATTGAATGAAATTACTTTGAGTACAAAGAACAAGTGACGATTTTTTGACAAGGGGAAATTGATGACTTTTAATGACTGTTCGCATTCAGACATGTGCACACTACGTTGTCACTGAGTTCAGCAAAGCGTATTGCAATTGACTTTGATGGTTATGCACTTTCTTTCCATGAAATCGTTTTTGTGAATGAGATAAGTGCCATAAACTCGGTTGTTCATAGAAACAAAATGTAAATTGAACTATGTTGATTCAATTAAACAACAAAGGAAAAGTGACATCGTTCTTCCAATCGTCAATGACAACTTTAATGTAGTTGAAATCCGGTCGTTATTCATACTTAATATTCAACAACGAATCAACGGGTAGTTATAAATAGTAAGTTAAACGTCATTCAAGACACATGCCTGGATATCATTTATTAAATGATACATGGGATTTTCAATTTTCAGCGAACAAAAATGATGTATTCAAGTGCGAAAATAGTAAGTGCCGGATAAGTCAAATTTCACGTACCTCCGATGGCTTCAAACTCCACCAACGTACCACTTTTGATCCATTTTGCTGGAACAGGTATCTCATGATATGTGTTATCTTGTGTGACAAATTGAAAGGAAAAAGAGATTTAAAATTTCGAATTCTTTTTGAAGCGAATCAAGTTTATTTGCTTCACTTAAGTAGAGGGCAAATCAAGGTTCTGTAGTATTTTTCATTACGTGCAGAGTAATGACTGTCTTAAAAAAACTATAGTTTACATCGCTCTGATTTTTAAACCGGCTCGTTAAGGTATAAATGAAATAGTTACGTTCCTGAGTTATTTAACGATGAAATCAGCTGGACGTCTGGGATAGATGCGTTCATCCCCTTACATATGATTTCACAATGCATATTACATGGAGGCAACATTCAAATCTACAAATCGAGGAACAATGGTGATTTGTATATCAATCTCAGACGCGCGTTTCATCTTATTTAGGGACTGAAAACCAGCACCATTCATTTTCATTTACATTCGGTTATCCACTCATCCAGTCAGTCGATATACTCAATGACTTGTGAAACTGTATGAAGCTTTAAATCATTTTTGAATTGTTATTGAATCTTCCGATCGATGTTGAGAAAGCGTATTTGATTCCACTGATATTCCTCCATTCCATCTTTACGCACAATGCTTGTGACTTCAAGCAACATCCAGATAATTCTAACAGAGTGCATATATATGAATAAGGGACTGATCAGTTGCAGAACAAATCACTCATGTGAGGACTGAACCAAAGAATGTAAAATGACAATTATCTTCATTGTTTAAATCACTCAACAATGCACCTAAACCTGTCAATGCAGAACATCTGGCGGAACATTTGATGAACCTTCTCACATTCAATCATAAACACTGTATCTCACCTAATCACGTACACTCAAAACTCCTCTTCAAACTCAGCTTCATTTCTCAACAACACATGTTTATTTCAGTGAAGTAAGACGATTGAACATTTCGTAGATGAAATATCATTTCCAAACTAGCACGGCTTTATTTCTGCTTCATACAAAACACACTTTTTTACATTGTGTTGAGATGATCAAAGACTGTAAGTTTGATTGTATTACTGTGAGTGTGTGAATACATGAGTGTATATATTTTGAGTTTGATATAGTTATTCATATATCCCTATCTGGGTGAGTCTAGCGGTAATCATAGCTGTAAGAAGTTCCCAAAATATTTAGACAGTGTGTTTACGAAAATCATTTCAATTTCATTCTGCACAATCAGCCACAACACTTAAATGACATTTTCACGAACTGACTTTACGCAAGAAGCAACTAAATAATATTCACTGTTAGAAAGCTCTCTCTGATAAGATACATGGATTTTGTTCATTAACATGCTCATGACCTGGTACAAGTAGAGAGTAATATAAAACTAACTGGTGATTGATGATGTACGTCACCGTACATCAAAGAGTTAACGAGATTCGGCCTGCTTAAACATCTGGGCTACCTGTTCCCGTCATCTAGATATTTCAAAAAGTTATCTAAATTTGTTTGTTTTAATACATCATTATGCCTAGTAATCGCACAACCTATTCAGTAGCCTTTCTGAAAAGAGTAAGAGTTTTAGCTGTAGCGGTTGCAGAAGTCAATATGCAGCGAGAAGAATGTACATTATCCAGATGTCGATTGACTGGGCTGTAAACTTCTAAGTGGCGATCACTAAATATTCTTCGTCAGGAAGGACGAAGAAGTAAAAACGGAAACATGCTGAAGTACATTGTGCTGAGAATTCTATATTGTACCAAAAATATAATATTGAATAAAGCTAATAAAAATAATAGTAATAATTCGCTGAAATAGTTCTTACGTTTTTCACAACGTATTAGTCCAAAGATTTTTGATCGAAACTGACTTTCCTCAATTTCCTTAGGAATCTGAAAAAAGTTTGTTGAATGTCTGAGATAAGATCTGCTACCACACAATCATTTATATGAAATCGAATAATTACTGAAGAAATGTATCATCATTTAGATCATCTCGTTAAAAGCCAACTAATCGCACTCACACTAGGCTTACTGATATTCTCAGTTTGCTTTCCATGAATGTTCAATCCAATCTGTCTAGATATTCTTGTCAACTTCGGTCAAGTGTTATGGACTATCTCTCCATCATGATATGTGGCGATAACTTGTGAGATGAATATCACCGTCTATTGAAATGAAATGAGATTGTGAATATTTGACAGGATGCTGCACTCAGGATATTTCACAGTAAACAATCTGAACAGTCGATCGTCACTACATGAAATAAAACTCAACAGAATATGACTCTTTCCGTATAGTAGGCAAACATTCACAGCCAGTTACTATTTGGCACGAACAGGTTTTTGTTTCTTCTGAAAGAACTTTATTTCTGATTATTCACTGTTCCTACCACTTGCTTGATTAGTGTCATTAGAGGATTGATAATAGTGTCAACTAGTCCGCTTGCCTATTACACAATGTTGATCTCTTTCTATCGTGTTCAGTGTAACTAGATTAATTTGACAATATTGATCAACATGAATGAGTAGAGTGATGTGAATTACTTGAAACAATATCACATTGTCACTAAATTATGCAACTCACGTTATCATAATAGAACGATATTTTCCCATTTGGGTGTATTAAAGTCGTCGTTGTGATTGTAACATCTACAGTAAGAAGAATATTGATACTCAGGATTTAGGAGTTAAACGATGAGCAAGTTATTGTTTGATGTAACACTGTGGACAGATTTCAGTGGATATTAACTGTGTTATCTGAAATGCTTTCTTCAGATTTATTGGTAATAAATACATTGAAGTGAACGTCATTGAAATGAGATGGACATGAATCCCTTCCAACAAATGTCAAATGCCTAGATTCTGAAGTTGTATTACTATTATCGAAACAATAAATCGTCTACTTTACCATCAGGGATCTGATAGTCAGGGATGTAATAACATTCGCACAATATCCTAAATAATTCAATTTGAAACAATGGACACTCAGTACGCATGACATGATCTTAGGAGTGTTTGTCTACATATTGAACTTGAGAAATAAATTGGTGGTATATATATAAAGATTTCTATCGGTTAACTGATTCTGACTTCAGTGTCCATTTGTTGTAGATGAGAAACGAATAGCTTTAGATAACGATTCCTCAGTTTGCAACGTCAATATTTGAGAATGAGTATGCGATGAAAGGATGTGTAAATGAATATAATGTGTGCAGCAATGGCTTTGTCACCAATGTAGAACACAATTCATCTATTTTGGTACACAGAGTGTTTATCAAGTTCCACTTAAACCTGAAATGATGATAAATCTCTGCATTCATTTTCAAGCAAGCAGAATGAGATTGTGACTTTAATTATCCATGATGACTTATTTATTGCCTGTCAAATCCAGTCATTCACAGTTCATTTCAACTGTTCCAAATGTTTCAATCAATGTACTCATGTAGTGAGTGAATTTCACATTCAATTCTACTATCGTTTGCCAGAATAGAAGCACCTTCATTCTTTTGTTAGTATTTTAGAAGGTTGGATTTTTTTTAAAAATGAACAGGCAAATTATGAGTAATCACAGGTAGTGAAGATGTAAGTGTAAAAGTTTCACGCGTGTGATCGAACGATCGATCAATGTTCACTCACCTGTACCATTAACGCTTGTCGAAAAAGTCCTTTGGGCTCCTAATAATTCATCTGAAATAATGAAAATCAAAAGGGATGTTTAAATATACTTTTTAACACGGAATGTCGACTTACTCAAGTTGTCGTCTCCATTTACAGGTTTAAATGAACCGGAGTAGTTGAATGCTAAATCATCTCACATGAGAAAAGTCCAAGGAATATTATCAAGTCAACAATATGATGAACGTTTCAACACAATCGACTGAGAAGAATATTTCGCTTCTTTAAAATTTCTTCTAGAAGCTTCTGACTGAATAATAGACGTTTAATAGGCATTTGACAATACAACAACAAAGTGTTTTTTGTTTCCCTTTATTCATCAATTCTTACGTTTGACCGAAATAAATGAATGTCGCATTGATTTTTTAAGTGTTTTGGTATGAGTAAATCATCTTGTACTAGCGGACTGTTCACGGACGTTCATTGGTCAGCTGTTTCACGAAGTGCATGGATTCGAAATGCATGATCATACAAATACAATCACAAAAATAGTTTTGAATAATCGAATAGTAACACATAGCAACTCCGAGACATTAAACATTCAAGAATCAAGTAAGTGCTATAAAAGGTCTAGAGGACTTCAAATATAACTTGATAATTCATAGGCTTCAATAATCCAAACCGCCTTCTCTCACAACATAGCTTACTATTGCACAAGTGATCACTTTTATTCACTCAATCTACCATGAAGTATCATGTAGATGAGATATCTTCTGTTTTGTAGTTTTCATAGACTGGAGGGTTGGTAATTTGTACACTTTCGCAATTATATCACATGGTTTATCATTTCTATTCGATGAAATTGTATAATTTCAGGTAGAACTGTGTTTAATTTAACGGTTTCACTTCACAGCATTCAACACCTGCTGCGAGACACACACGTTCTGTTGCAAAAACAACACAAACACAACAATCACTTTGTATTGGTTACCACTCCTGTAATCATCAAGATAAATACTGAATCTTTTATACAAAATAAGTTTGAGAAAAGTGATCAAAACAAAGAATAACTGAATAATATAAGAACTCACTTTCATCCAAAACTACAGCTTCAGACTTCTCATAGTTTTCTATGTAATTAATAATATTTGCAATTCGGTACCGTCCATATACATGTACATAATCTGTATTTATTGGATGAAAACATGCCACATTATTGATAAATTTGTAATGAATGAATAAACAATTTTAAATAATAAAACTGAACTGTAGTTGGTTTGCTGAAAAGAGTCAAACCATGTTGAACAATGAAAAAAGAATATTGAAAGAAGTTTTGCATTAGACAAGGAGCACAAAACTGATTCACTGAAGAAAATAGAATCAACTTTGATTGATTAACAGAAATGCGATCAACAAAACTCATTAATAATTTGAATTCAAAAAAAATTTATGACTTACGTTTCTTGTGAAACTCAATTTCTTTAACGTGTTCACCGTAATAACTAAACGAGAATTGAGGACGAGCCTTCTAAAATGTTGCAAACATATGGAAAAATATTTTTATTATAAAGTGTATTCAACTCACGTATCTGCGATCTACCTTATTTATAAAACGTTCACTCGGAACTGGTTGAGGTTGATTACGTTGAATCCTCATTGAATATTTATAATGAAGAGACTGGAATATGTGTATTAGAATGTATCTGATTACTTACATATCTATATGTATCATTCTCAAAAATGACGTTCTCATAGTGTTCCAAATCAGGGTTTTTGCAGATGTCATTGCAGTTGAAACGTTTGTAATTCCAAACGAAGAAAAGATAAATTAGTATCCATAGACTAGGCGAAAAGTTATATCTAAAATGATTAGGACGAACAAATCAACGGTATCTCATTGAATTCAATTTCAATTTCAGTTCGTATATTCATTCAACACTTACCTCATCTTATCGTGTCAAGTTATAATTCAAATTTTTATAGAATTTGTCGGGTTTATATAGACTTTTGAAGTGTAAAGTTGTTCTCTTCTGATTCGATGATTCAAAGTAACCATTAGAAAGATCGAATTTAATAAAATCAGATGTTCATTATAAACCAATCATGGAGGTATATGACATTATCGTAAACCAATATTCTTCTGGCTGTTGAGATCATGAGCTGAAATTTATTCACTGTTGGTTGAAATTCCTGACCCCTGTGGATAAAACTTCTCTTCGATGTGATAGACAATATTTTGAAATAGGTGACTGGTTAAATTGTACTTTAAAATGTGTGCTCATCTGTTTACGAACAAACAGTTTGTTGTCTGTAATCATGTATTGATTATTCGTCAAAGATGAGTTGTTTTGATTTGATTGGTTAAAATCAAAGTAGCACTAATTGTTTTGATTGGATGGTAACCAATACACTTTTATACATGGATTTTTTTACAATAAGCACATTTTGTTAAACGATTTCACCGTCGTTTTTTTTTATAAAATTTCGTAACTTCTGAACAATGTCACATCCATTCTATTTGCATACCACATTATAACACTGACTGTCAATAGGTGTCTAGATGAAAAAGGATAATGATTTTCCTATTGAGTACATTGAAATAGAATCAATTGTGCTCAGTTTCATAGATTGAGTTCCCAAATCATTGTAATCAGAGGAAAATAATGCATTCCGCCGAAAGTGAATTGTTGAAAGTGGAGCACCATTTCTTATACCAGACACATTCAAAACTATAACATTGATCATTGTATCTGAAGACTAAAACGTTTATCAATACTCAAATAGAAGACTGATTTTCACCTGTGTGTGTTTCAATGTTCTATTCCCTCACATCAGTTGAGCTTGTATTTCATATCATCTGTGTTCAAATATAGAAGAAAATCACAGTGATAAGATAATGTTAAGTGTATACTTAACATACACTAAACATTGAATACTGATGAATGAATAAAATTCTACACATTCATAACTGAATAATAATTTTGGTGAAATAAGTCAGGAATGTTTGTTTTTGCGTGATATTTAAAAACAGTTTTCCTCCTGACACAGTAGATGTGTATTGGTTTGCTTTAGATAGATATGAACACTAATCAAAATGTTGTTACCTTGACAATCACTGTTTGTTGTTGAATAATAAGACTGTTTGGGTAATTTTGTGAATTCATCAACATGAAAATTGTTTTCAGTGGTGCATTGTCAATTCAATGCCGTTGACCAATATCTAATTATGGAAGGAAACGTAATCTCAGCATGTGATAGTGTAGATCAGTTAATCTGCTTGAGAAGAGTATGATTCAGATGATGAAGTATTCAGTGGAGTGTCTCCTTATACTGTCATGTCTATTTTGCATATTGTTATTGGCAATTGTGTTGTAAGTATGAAATATGTTTCACAACATAATGAGGTTACATTATTTTAAGGTTATGCTACATCAGTCTTACATTTTGCCAGGTCTTCTATATAACCTCTTATTCTTCAATCTTCTTCATAATCTTTTGATAAGCTTTAAAAAGAAAGCGTTTGTTGTATTGTGAGAAATACAGAGAGCAGCTGACAAGGTGTGTGGTGAACCTCTTGAAGTCATCAGTAAAATGACAATGAATAGACTTCTAATGTCTAGCTCAAACCTGAAATGTGTTTTCCTAATAATAACCATCAATTTCTTTCACTATTTTTCCTCGTATATCTTCCGGTAGAAGTTGTAGAAATGTATTTATAGATGATGCTATAGTGGTCTGTGGTGAAACAGATTAGTTTTACAAAATTATCAAAAGATAATGAAACTCATGGAAGAGAGTCTCAATGGAAAAGTAAGAAACGGACTAGAATTGACTTTGCTGATTCGGTTACTCCAGGTAGGGAAAGTAATTTGATCTATTCTCCATCCTCAAGAGCCAGACGAATATGCAGTGATGACACAATTGGTGATGATGAACTTAATATAATTAAACAAACACTACGGGAAACAAGCTACAGAACCATCTCAATTAATGACTGTTATCTCAAATCAGGAGATCAAGTTGAATGAAACCTCATACATAGTAGGAATAATTGACGACAGAATATTGAATTCAAAGGAAACACGGCATCGTGGATTTCAGAGAACAGATTATTCATATCCTTGAAAAGCATTCTATTCTGCCGTATTCCGAGTTGTTTTCTGTAGCAGGAATCTAATCAGGACAGTCTCAATGATCAACTTACGCTTGGTGAGATGCATTAATTCATTTGCCAGAATATGCACTTAAGGCAAAACAGATGATAAGCTATATACAATGCATAAAACGTTTTCCGAGAATGACACTAAAGCTATGTTAATTGACAGTGCGAAACAGAGAGACAGTGGAGTGCGATTTCAGTTTCGTAATAGCTACGAACGATTGTTCGTTCCGTTGCTTCTTTGTATTCCGTCTTCTCTATTTCGATTAAATGGACAATCACATTTAACATCTCTTTATCATTAGACAACACAAAGTCTTTGACAGTATATTGAAAGTACATTTGAAGTGATTAAGATAACTCTGATCAAAAGGAACACACTGTCCTCGATGAACAGTTAATGTCTAACCAGAAAAGAAAGCCCGCCTCTTTCGTCCTCACGAAACTGTTCACACTGAGTACAGTCACTTGACGATTCAGTCACCAATATGTGTTTCAATATCACGTATAATCATCACAAATACTATTTGGCATCTTTCAACCTAATATACGTTGCCACGTAAGAAACTATTTTTCTAAAAGTACAAATAATGATAAGAATAGTTTCTATTATGTGATAGTGTGATCTGTCTGTTAACCTTGACCGTTGTTTTTCTTGTTGTTCAAATATCATTCATTTCAATTCCGCGTTGTCTATCACCAGATTTCATCTATGATATGACATTTTCATTCGTATAATGAGCATGATATGAGTTGTCATTATAATGAGGGATGCCGCTCTCTACTAACACATTCATATGACTGATCATCTTTGACACATACAAAACAAAAATGAATGAAATTTTCATTTTACATATGATTAATACTTTTCCGAAGCCAAAATGTACCGATAGTTTGTTCATCAATTCATAGATGGTCTTGATTCAGTTATGAGAAAACACTGAAATCATCTATTATCTTATTCCAAGTGAGTCTAATAATACTGGTCGAATAGAATTATCTAGTCTTCACGCATTCAAGTTATCAATTTAAGTAAATGAATTCATGCATGTTAATAGAAGTTGAATATCGTGTTTAAGGCGGCGTCATCAGATTTTACGTTAGATCGAACAAGTTATGGATCATCATTTGTAATTCAATTACGTCTTCGTTTCGCAACAGAATTGAAATGGATTACCCTGTCAGAAAGCATTCGTAGATGAATATTTATTTAGTCTGTCCGCTATGTTTGTCTCAACGACTTCGATTTTCATCTATTAAGTTGACTTTATTGAGAAGATATTTTAATTGAGTTGAAGAATATTTGGTGACTGTAGTCAGTCGACAGAAATGGTTGAAGCTAGGTTTGATGGTGGTTAGTACAACTTAGCGAAGTGTAGCCTCACTTCTGAAAAAACCAATACTCCTCGTGTGTTTCAAACTCATATCACTCATCTTTGTGAAAAGTGTATTAACTATTTCGTCACATGAACTGAAGCTGACCTCTTGTAGGACCGATATGTTCATATTTGTTGTTCAAAGCATAGCTGTAGATGTCATGTTTCTCCAGTAACTGAGTATATAAAACAATCTCAATCATGTATTTCACTTTTACTACTTATCTATAACTACGTGTTGTTCGTTTCATGATCAAAATGACGAGTTTTGGCACTTTCAGGCAGATATTTTTATTTGATAATGTTCACATGTTTCATACAACTCATGTTTACCAGATGTTCCGGATAGATACATTTTAATGTTGACTAAGAGGATGTTTTCTTAGAATATGTTTGAAAGTTGATCTGAACAATTGAGTGCAGTACACCGAATTTCTCAAGTAATCAAATGTTATTGATGTGTCCCACAATTGATATTGGAATTGGTTTATGTAAATTATCAGTGATGGAAACTTTCTCACAACTCAGGGTGTGAATATTCATCCCTTAGAAAATGCCTGAAAATGATTCCATTATTCATATAATCATTTGGTTTATTATTGGTAATATAACCAACGATTTTATTTATGGATCTGTATGTGTATCACTATTCTACGGTTGTTCGTGTTGTTCTATTCAAACTCAAATATTCGATCGGATTGACTCATTTGTTTTCAGATCCGCTTCTTAGTGGTCCGACATGAAATTAAGTTATTTTCTTACACACATTTTTTGAAAACTTACTTACGCCTGTTACTTCCAATGGAACATATGCCACCTACCAGCATTCTCCAACTCACTCTATTCTGAGCCTACGTTTCTAGTTCTCTCCAGTTTATGTTCACTCTTCTCATGTCTGTCTCCATTTCTCGGCGTATTGTGTTCTTTGGTCTTCCTCTTCTTCTTAGGCCTTCATCATCAATGATGCTGATCAGATACGTAAAGGTTTTCACATCCTACAAAGCTTCTCTATCAAGTGTGATACGATTGATGCATGCTATATTGTAATATGGAGTCTTGCTTTTCCCTTTGCTTATATTGTGACCTACCACTGCTAAAGCTACTGCTGAATTTGTTGTTGCGTGTGTGATAGAAGAGCCCGATCATCTGCGAAGTCTAAATTGTCCAGCTGCAGCCTAGCTGTCCACTGTATCCCATGCTTCACTCCATGATGCAGTCGATCACCAGTAGAAAGAGAAAGAGTTAGAGTAAACAACCTTCCCTAACACCGGTCTTCACCTCAAATGAGTTGGTGAGTTGTCCTGCATGAAAAATTAGGCAGTTTTATCAATCACAAGAATTCCGTATGATATTGACTATGCTCTCAGTCATGTCATAGTTTTGAAGAAGCCTCCATAGTGTTTTCTTATTTATGCCATCAAATACTATCTCGTAGTCGATCAAGTTGATGTAGAGTGATGAATTCCATTCATTTGATTGTTTCAAAATGGTTTGTACTCGATCGATCCTTACGAAATCCAGCCTGTTATCCATCCATAATGATGGTGTTTCTTGTGGACCAGAACCTCCTGACATGTTGAAATTTATTTTATTTATTTATTTAAACACATAAATATTGG